GACATATGAGCAGTTGCTTTTAAATTGAGCTGCCGTAAACCGACCTGTAATATAAAGAGGGGAATTCACACAGTAGTGAAGCCAACATAGTGAAACCACTTCAAGAACTCATTCGCTAGTATCTACAAGTCATTCCATTGTTAATTACGATTAGAAACATTATTTTATGAAACTGGAAGATATCAGCTGAGCACTTTCATATCAATATCCCACGTGATGACTTTACGATCCTTGTTCTGCACTTCATATCCCATCATATTCTTCCCCCCTATCTACCTATTAACCTCTTTCAACCTTATTCCGTTGTCTGTAACCTCTGCTCCCCTGATTCTAATAAATGTGCAGGATGTTACTTATAGGCAATGGCACATTTTCCCGGGTCAAGCAGTAAATTTCTGCATCAAGCACTCCCAGGCCAGGTACAGATGGTTATTTAGATGAAAACTATGGCTTGTTCTATTCTGCCCAATGAATGTGTCTCATTCCCAATCAGAGAGGCAAGCCTGGGATATGTCTCCAGTAGATCCACTATAATACAGTAGATGTTATTATAGCCTCTCAATAGCATACTTTTCTGTAGTCTCATGCTCACTCAAAACTAGGTTTGAAACTACCTCCAGAACTCATTTGACCTTGGAGTCGTATCGTTAGTCCAGAGGATTCGTGACTTTTAATCCCGTTGCTCTGAGCTGGATTTCAACCCAAGCTCTCGGAGAGGAAGGATAGTACTAATTTCTATGCATCTACCCATAACCTTGTTGTACAAAGATATATTTTTTGATGGAGCCAATTGCTTCGGGGGGAAAAACTGATATGTGGGGAGATTCCAAGCTGACGTCAGCAATTGTGTGGAGTAGAATTATAGAGAGTTGCCACCCAAAAGGCAATCACTTTCTTGGACCCGTAAGGTCTTGCTGATGGAGTCGCATTGCCTGAATGCTCGGAGGAGATAACCAGCGTACTATCTCAGCCGGATACGATATGTCCCAAAGGCTAAGCACCCACAGGAAGTGGAAGGAAAATAAATATTTAATTTAAAGAAACAATTGGAAGAATTCTGGGCTTTCATAGTCAGCGACATAGAGTGCAGAGTTGGCGCAGGAACTGACAAATCTTATCAGTTAATTACAGCCCTGCAATTGCTCCAGGCATCTTTTATTCCCTGTAAAACGTAATGTATACAACGTACCTGGAACCTTTTGGCAAAATATAACCTCAGAACAATCACCCATTAGTCGTGCTGTCAACGTCTTGCATTCGATAACATCACAAAAGCTTATATGATACACTCTCTGACAGCACTCAACAAAGATCTCAGTGTGAATCTACAATTAGGTGGACACAACACCAGGAAATGATGATTTGGCTTCATTGTTCCAGTTGCACTGTACTTGCTTTGCATAAAAGAATGGTTGGAACTGAATAGTTTGATGAGTTCATTCCAGGCTTCCTTATATTAAATGTCACTTGGTCACATACCTTTCAACCTCGTCACATATAAAGGATAAAAAAACAACATCCTGCTGACTTGTGAAGTTACATAAAAGTTCAAATCAGTAACTTTTCATACCACATACATACCACACTGTGGGCTTTGATGAACTGAACTTGCTGTCCTTCATGTTATCTGTGACAAAAGGCTGAAAGTCTCTTATCTCTGAATCTCATAATTTACCACATTGCCACTTGATTTGGATTGATTTTTTTTTAATTCACTGTCGGCCATTCAGCACATCTTATGTCATTAATCCAGTAATTTTGAACCTTTTGTGATGCTAAACACTTGATATCAGCTAAGACTCCATTAAAATTGTATTAGAAGCTCAAATCATATCCCTTGTGTGAGATAACCTTACCATTTCCATGTGACTTATGGTGTATTCAGTTTATTCCATAGGTACACAGCACACAAACGGACCAGAAGCTTACGTTTAAATGAATTCTGGAATACTGCACATTGACCAATAAATGCATTTTACAATGTGTGAAAACGATATCTGATTTTCTAAGTGTGAAATACAAGTCCTGTGGGCACAGACCTTCCCAATCAAATCCTCGGAATACTATTCAAATCCACATACATTATAGAGAAGAGCTACAATCACATAAGAGGGACTTAAGGTTAAGCCGGATGGAAGTAACGTAAATGAAAACTCAAGCTTCACTTGCATGGTTCATGGCATTGTGTGAACCCCTTGATTGCCTTGTCGCCTTATGTGTTTCCTACGTCTTCCTTATCCCTGTGAAGATTCGAGAGAAGCGAATGCAGAGGATTCCTGAAGGGACAAAGTGCAATATTGATATCCAGCTCACTGCTGAGGATGACCTCAGGACTTGGGTGATAAAGCAACATGGTGCAAAGGTGATCTTCAACATGAAACTCTACCAACAATATTTTTAATTGTGTTCCATCTGCTCCATTTCTCTTCCGACCGATTACATTCTCCCTGTGTTTGTGTGATGCAAGGTTATGGATATGATCGATAACTTTGCTCTTTGTTTTTCTCTTTGTGAAGCTTTTTTTTTTGAATCCGATGAGCTATCCTGACCCCTGTGGGCGGAGGAAAGAGTGATCTCATGGCTTCAGTGTGCTGATGC